TATTTGATACATATCTGACCCATCATCCCACCCACGTAGAAGTTGCCATTCTCACCAAAGATACAAAAATGGGGTGCTCAAAATTTTCTGACACCTGTTCCTCTTACTTATAAGCTTTCTTTAAGTATAGATGCACGCACACACACACACACACACACCATTTAGGCATCACTTTCCCAGGTTCTTTTTTATTTATTTAAATCACTGTTCTGTAAATCCTACCACTCCGGTCAAGTCCATTTCAATTCTGATTCTGTCAACAGGATATTCGTACAGGCACGTATCTTCAAGTGTATAGTTTTCAGACTTAGGGCCTCCAAAACTTTTGGAGGAAATAGGACTTGGGGGGGAGAGAGCGGTCGGCATGTGGGGTGTCTCCCTACCTTTCCAACTACTTAATTTTAAGAGACCTTAAAAGGCTGCTACAATGCTGGGGAACGAAAAGCTGACGACCCCCCACCCCATCCCTTCACGGCGTGAAGGATCCGGACGAAGCTTGGCGATTCTGGCAGGGGGAGGCATGGAAGAGGGGCGCCGGGGTGCAGCGAAGGAAAGCCGGGTTGTTACCAGAGGGAGCGAAGGGAGGAGGGCCCAGCAAGGACTCCTCAGGCGGGAAGAGGGAAGACAAGCGCCCAAACGGGCCGTGGGGGAGGGGGGAGAAGATATTGAGGGGGGCAAGAAGAGGGGGAGGGTCTCCCAAAGGGTTCTCTAAAATGGCGGCAGCTTCCTTTCCCACAGGGCTCCCACATCTCTCTCTCTCCCCCACTCCTAGCCACAGTCCTTCTCCCGCTTCCCTTTTCCTCACCCTCAAGATCCACCGCGCTCACCGGGCACGAGCCCCTTCCTTCCTGCCCTTTTTCTTAGCTGGCGGAGGAAATGGGAAAGCAGCTCGCTCACTCGCCGCTCTTTTTTTTTTTTTTTCCCCTTGCCTTCACCGCCACGATCCCAGAAGCCACCGCGCGCGCCTCCAGGGGCCCACTTGCCATTTCCTCCTCCGGCTGAACCCCGCCCCTTACACCCCGGAGTCGCCTTTCCTTCCGCTTGGACCTTCTTCGCTGTCCTGCTGTTCTACCTTCTCTTCCGCGCGCTCTTCCTTTCCTTCTCACTCCTCACTTGTTTACCCCATACCCCACTCCGCCCCCCCCCACGCCCCGCGCAACCTCGCATTCGCTTCCCCGGCTCCTCCCATTTGGCTTTAAGGGAGGGAGGGAAGGAAAAACGCGAGCAGCGCAGGCGCCGCCTGAAGCCAGCCTACAATGCGCATGCGCGAGAATGAGACGGTGATTATTTTTCATCTGCGCGTTTTTTTCGAAGACCTTTCCCCCACCCCCCAACCCCAATTTGGTTTAAATTTGCCTCCCAAGTGAGCACATCTCCGTTCACTAGCTTTATTCTTATTGCTATTTCTTTTAAGCAAGTTTTATTGCCGAGTAATTGAAATACTTTACATTTTATCATCACCATCATTTTAGCCAGTGTATCCACTGCAGGATGAAGGCATCTTCCTTGTGTTTCCAACCTGTATTTTTTACTAAAATATGTGTACCTCCTATTGGGCTCCTTTTACGTGTTCTGTAATCGCGGTTTCAACCATCCATCTCACGGGCTGCTGTATCGCTGCCATTTCATGTTGGCCCTGCTCAGTCTCATGTCCGTACCGCATTTATACACGTGATTTGATGGAGCATTCTAGTCCACAAATATACTGATCCCATCATAACCGTATCATTTTTTAAAAAAAATTGCCCGCAAAGCTTAATACTCTGCTAATTTTTCTGATGTATCCCAGAACTATCACAGTAATCTGATTTTCATGAGCACAGATTTAAACTAGGTTCTTGGGGTGCATTTAAAAAAAAAACAAATGATCACACAGGTGAAACTCAAAAAATTAGAATATCGTGCAAAAGTTCATTTCAGCTAATGCAACTTAAAAGGTAAAACTAATATGAGATAGACACATTACATGCAAAGCAAGATATTTCAAGCCATGATTTGTCATAATTGTGATGATTATGGCTTACAGCTCATGAAAACCTCAAATCCACAATCTCAGAAAATTAGAATATTACATGCAATCAATAAAACAAGGATTGTACATAGAACAATATCGGACCTCTGAAAAGTATAAGTATGCATATGTACTCAGTACTTGGTTTGGGCCCCTTTTGCAGCAATTACTGCCTCAATGCAGTGTGGCATGGAAGCTATCAGCCTGTGGCACTGCTGAGGTGTTACTGAAGACCAGGATGCTTCAATAGCGGCCTTCAGCTCTTCTGCATTGTTCGGTCTCATGTCTCTCATCTTTCTCTTGGCAATGCCCCATAGATTCTCTAAGGGGTTCAGGTCAGGCAAGTTTGCTGGCCAATCAAGTACAGTAATCCCATGGTCACTGAATCAGGTTTTGGTGTGGGCAGGTGCCAAGTCCTGCTGGAAAATGAAGTCAGCATCCCCATAAAGCTAGGCTACAGAAGGAAGCATGAAGTGCTTCAAAATCTTCTGGTAGATGGCTGTGTTGACCCTGGACTTAATGAAGAACAGTGGACCAACGCCAGCAAATGACATGGCTCCCCAAATCAACACAAACTGGAAACTTCACATTGGACTTCAAGCATCTTGCAATGTGTGCCTCCATTCTTCCTCCAGACTCTGGGTCCTTGGTTTCCAATGAGATGCAAAAGTTGCTCTCATCAGAAAAGAGGACTTTGGACCATTGAGCAACAGATCAGTTCTGTTTTTCTTTAGCCCAGGTAAGATGCTTCTGACATTTGTTGTTCAGGAGTAGCTTGACAAGAGGAATACATCCGTCTGTGTGTGGTGGCTCTGATGCACTGACTTCAGCCTCAGTCCACTCCTTGTGAAAGTCCCCAACACTTTTGAATGGCCTTTTCCTGACAATCTTCTCCAGGCTGCGGTCATCCCTGTTACTTGTGCACCTTTTTCTTCCACTTTTCCCTTCCACATAACTTTCTATTAATGTGCTTTGATACAGCACTTTGGGAACATCCAACTTCTTTTGCAATTACCTTTTGAGGCTTTCCTTCCTTATGGAGGGTGTCAATGATGGTTTTCTGCACAACTTTCAGGTCAGCAGTCTTTCCCATGATTGTGATTCCTACTGAACTAGACTGAGAGACTATTTAAAGGCTCAGGAACCCTTTGCAGGCGTTATGGCTTAATTAGCTGATTAGAGTGGGACACTTTGAGCCTAGCATATTGAACCTTTTCACAATATTCTAATTTTCTGAGATTGTGGATTTGGAGTTTTCATGAGCTGTAGGCCATAATCATCTCAATTATGACACATCACAGCTTGAACTATCTTGCTTTGCATGTAATGAGTCTATCTCATATATTAGGTTTATCTTTTAAGTTGCATTACTGAAATAAATGAACTTTTGCACGATATTCTAATTTTTTGAGTTTCACCTGTATATTGCAACTTGTTTTCCTTTGGGTTGAAGAGACAGCAGGGGACATTTCTTAACCAGGGATTATACCAGCCTGACAGCTGTGTCATGAATGTAAGCAATTCTGTGGCTGTTGGTCCAAGCAGATCACTGCATCTGGGATGCTGAGCCAGCTATGATTTTGGGAATCTGAGGGATCTCATTGTCAAAGAGAAGTAGGTCAGTGTTTTGTGGGTCACCTGGGATAATCAAGCCCCAACTATAACTCTATGATATCTGCTTTACAGTGTTGCAACAATCAAAACTGGCAGCTGGGCGTTGATGGATTAAACATAGAAACCCTCCCCCTAAATGGTACTTTTGTCAGGGTGGATGGTTTAAATAAGGGGGGAAATTGTTATTGATTTAAAGACCTGCAAATTCTACAGCAAATTGTTATTTTGTATTAAGCCATGAGTCATGGTTTACAAAGCAAAATAACTGAGTTTATACAGCTTGCTCTAAGCTAAGAGCCAACAAGCTACATAATGGCTGAGACTATATATATAAACACGTTGGGAACTTTACTTTGAACATAAGATCCACTGAAACTGCTGTTGTTAAATTATTGTTGTGTTTTTGTGCTCTAGTACAAAATGACTAGAAAGTCACATCCTATCTTACTGTAATTCTCCTTTCATAAAACATATACAGGTGGTCCTTGACTTACAATTATTCATTTAACAAATATTTGAAGTTACAGCAAGCATCAAAAAAAGTGACTCATGTTTGGTCCTCACACTTACAACCATTGAGGCATCCCCACGGTCACATGATCAAAATTTGAGAGCTTTACAACCAGCAGGTTGCAGCATCCCAGAGTCATGTGATCATCATGTGATTTTTCCCAGTTAGCTTCCAAGAAGCAGTCAATATGAGGGAAGCTGAATTCACTTAATACCTGCAATGATTCACTTAACTATAGCAAAAAAAAAAAAGGTTATAAAATTGGGCATAACTCACTTAACAGCTGCCTTACTTAGCAATGAAATTTCTGGTCCCAATTGAGGTGGAAAATCAAGGATTACCTGTATGTTATAATGGCAAAGCAGTTCTTTCTTGACAATGCAGCTAAGTGATAGATATCTGTATTTTTATACACAAATTTATAGAAGTAACTCTCATTGGAGGCTGTTTCTCAGCCTTGGGAACTTTAACATGCAACTCCCAGAATCCATGTTGGCTGGGGAAGGTTGAGAAATATTGCCAAAGAATATATATACCAGCACTTTGAAGTGCAGCATTTTCACCCTTATAAATTTATGGGACTACTTTAAGGTTAAACGCATTCAGAATTGGAGCATAAACAATGCCATATACTGTATAGCCAAAGCAGCTTGGTTTCAAGCTTATGCCAAAGTTCGGGTACCCCACTCCCCCAGTAACGGATTTGGTTAAAGGCCTGAGGTAACACTTTGAATTACTAAACATTTTTAAACCCGTTTTAAGCATAGGTATTAGTTGTATAGTTGTCTTTTTGTTTAAATTCAGCTTGATTGTAACGCAATATGAAATACCTACTAAAATCATCACAGTAGTTAAGAGGATACATGTGGTGAAAGGTTTTTATTCAGGACCTTGAACCCAAGTCTATAATCACACATCTAACATTCAAGAAAGAAGATGTGTGTTACTACAAGAGCATCCCCAGCATTTTGGAAAATAAGAAATAAGCCATCTTGCCAAAGGGTTGTTTACGTGATATCTACTTTTTAGCTCTTGGCTGTTCTTTCTCTGCTTTTCAGTTTCATACATTCCTATATCTGGTTAGTGTCAAGTTTATGGATGATGATTTTGGGAAGACAATTCCTTCCCCTGTTCCTACCTGATATATACGAGTGTGGGAGCAAATCTCATTGCTTTATTTCCCAATACAGGAAGTCCTCGATTTATGACCATTCATTTAGTGACCAAAGTTACAACTGAAAAAGTGTGTTATGACTGGTTTTCCTACTTATGACCATTGCAGCATCCCCGTGGTCAAGGGATCAAAATTTGGGTGCTTGGCAACTGGCATGTATTTATGATGGTCCCGGGGTCATGTAATCACCTTTTCAAACTTTCTGACCAAATCAATGGAGAAGCCAGACTCACTTGACAGCCACATGATTCACTTAAAACTGCAGTGATTTAACAGCTGTGGCAGAAAAGGTCACAAAATTGGGCACAGTTCACTTAATTATCTTGCTTAACAATTGAAATTTTGGGCTTAATTATGATTGTACATCGAGGACTACCTGTATAATCCAGCAGTCTTGCCTCTAGGGTAGTACCAAGGTAGGCATTAGCTCAGGGGTCCTCAAACTTGGCAACTTTAAGACTTGTGGACTTCAGCTCCCAGAATTGTGGCTGGAGAATTCTGGGAGTCAAAGTCCACAAGTCTTAAAGTTGCCACGTATGAAGTCCTCTGCATTAGCTGATGGAAAGGAGGCTGATTAGGACTAACAGGCTTCCAGTTTGCGGCCCCTTCTCTTGCAGGATCTAGCATCTTCCTCTATGTTTATTTATGTTAAAAGGTGAAAGAGAGGTGTTCAACATTTTACAAGCTTTTGCTGATAGGAAAAACAAAAAACATGCCAGACTTATCACCCAAAAGAGAAACTTGTTAAAAAGAATACAGCAATAGCAAGGCGTGGTGATAGAAGATACAAGTGGCTTGAATACTGTACATCAGATGAGCCAATTGGAGGGGGGGAGGGAATCCAAAGGTCTACAATCCCCATTTCTAACCAGGAAAGCCATTTGCAAGGGGGGGGCGGGGGGAAGGAGGCAGGGCTCCAAGACTTGCAAAGAAAATGGAATTTCCTTTTACCTCTATGTATGGTAATCCATTTTTCATCTCTACTGAAGCAACAGTCTGTTTGCCTTTCAAGATGCCCAATCTGACATACCTTTTCCAGTTATCCCATATTTGAAACACTTTTTAAAGGTAACTATCATACAGATCCAGCATTTCTACATAGGCGTAAAAAGCTCACTTTGCTGAACAAACATAACATATTTAGAGAAGTAATTTGGGGGGTCCCCTACTTCCTATCATCCCCAAGAGATAGACATTATTTTAAGCAGAATCCTGAACTAAAATTGATTAATTTATGGCTGTAGCCAGGTTTCCTAATGTTCTGCACAAAAATGCAGCAATCTTGTAAGTCTGGAGTGGGAGGTGATTTCCAGATGATTTCATATGTGTTTAAATTTTTAACAACCCTCTCACCCTCAGCCATAGATGCCATCTTGAGAGGTGCTGAAAGCATTTTCGTGCTCAAGAGCAGTGCAGCAACATTCCTGTCTTTCAGTGATAGCTGGAAAAGAGTTTGCCCCCCAAACTCTGTTCTCCATACCTGTGGACTTCAATTGCTACCTGCATGAACAGAGATGAAGCATCATAAACCCTGTTTTTGATAGTTTAAGGATAATGGGAGTGAACGTTCAAACATCTGGAAGGCACATGCTTGGGAATAGAATTTTTTAAAAATGCTGATTTCTCTTCCAAGGCTTTAAATGGCCAAGCCATTAAAAAGTACTCAACCTCGTCCCTCCCTTCTAATCACAGCAACGATGAAAACAAGCAAAGCACAATAGGAAGTAGGGCTCATTTCCCAGTTAAAGTTGGAGATTGAAAGAATCCTTTAAAAACTATGGTTTTTAGAGTAGGGAAGCTATACTGTGATGAGCAAAGTTACCAGCAAACTACAAGGATAGAAAAATGCATTTTGCAGGATGATGAAAAGGAAGTTATGCAGCAACAGCTTATGAAAGTCTTCCTGCTGACCATTCAGCTTAACAGCAACATATCTCAGTTTCCAAAAGATCTTCTGTTACTCCAGCTTACCGCTGGGTCAGCGGATGTAGGATAAATGGGGGTATTTCCATCAGAGGCCTCCAACCAGCACAGATCCAAAGATGAGTGCGAACTTCAACCATGTCAAACAGCCAAGCTACCGGTCCATGTTGTTTTCCTCAGGCTGACTGTGGAAGCAAAGACGCAGTAGGGTCTCGCAGAAATCCAGCTCCTCCTTCATTTTATTTTTCAAATTAAATAAATAAAAAAAAGAAAAGAATAGGTGATAAATAAATTATTGGATTTCTGCAACTTTATGCATCTGTCAATAAAAGTCCAAGCTAACGAGAACTTTAAGTGCATGCAGCAATCAGGAATGCTTGCCTTGCTGGCAAAACTTCAGTCTCAATACTGTTTCTTTTGTTCCATTCTGCCCCATAAGTGACTTTTCTATTAATTCCTGTAATATCTAATGTTAGACCACTATGACTAATACAGGAAGTCCTCGACTTATGACTGGTAGCCTAATGACCATTCCAAGTTATGATGGACCTTCCCAGGGCTTCTTATGACTTGGGAAGTTCTGGTGTTCAGGTCTCCCCTGCAGTCACATGATCATATTTTGGGCCCTCGGCCCACGTTTACGGCCATTTGCAGCATCCCACAATCACGTCATCATGATTTGCGTTTTTACTTGGAAAATGGCACTTCCGGTTTCTGTCAGAAAATGCTTGTTGAAATGGATTCACTTAAAAGGCCGCGGCATTCATTTTATGGCCACAGCAGGAAAATAAAAGTCATCAAACTGGGCGCGATGACATGGTGACCTGATTAACGACTGGTGTGACTCACAAGTGTAATTCTGAGCTCAACTGCAGCCATAAATCGAGGACCACTTATAGGCATGTCCTGACTCAGTTCTCTGGTGGGGCAATCTCAGACTCCCATTTTGGGTGGGAAAGGTAAAACATTTTTATTTTGAAAACTCCCATGTTAAACAAGAATGAATAACTGCCTCCATCATATACAGGTAGTCCTCAACTTATGACCACAATTGAGCCAAAAATTTAGGTTCCTAAGTGAGAAATTTGTTAAGTGAGTTTTGCTCCATTTTATGATTTTTCTTGCCAAATTTGTTAAATCAGTAATACGATTGTTAAATGAATCTGGTTTCTCCATTGACTTTGCTTATCAGAAGGTTGCAAAAGAAGATCAAGGCACTCCGGGACACAGCGGCTGTCATAAATATGAACCAGTTGTCAAGCATCCAAATGTAAATCAGGTGACCGTGGGGATGTTGCAATGGCCGTATGCGTGAAAAACAATCATAAGTCAGTGCTTTGAACGGTCATTAAATGAACTGTTGTAAGTTGAGGAATACCGTATTAGTTTTCCTTAATTGTGAATGGAAAAACATTTTTTTTTCCTTCCAAGAGCTGTATTCTAGCAGGGAGTGGGAGGCCTATTCCATACCAAAGAGAGAGCTCAGCAGTTTAGTGCAACTGGAACAAAACCTGGATCGAGTTGCCTATTTTCTCTTCCTTCCTAGAAGAGGCTGCAGGAAAGAAACAGGGGATTTGCTCCAGGCATCTAAAATAACTAACTGAAAAGGCTTTTACAATTAGGCTGCAGTCCACATGAATTTAGTTAATGACTTGCAGGAGCCTTAGACAACTGGTAACCCAGCCTCTTCTGCAAAGCCCTAATATCCATCAGTCCCCCACTGGCTTGGCCAATGTCTGTGGGAAAGTAAACTAAAATCTCTGCAGGGGAGTAGGTGTCTGTCCTTATCCATCCTTGCTCAAAGTATTTCCCTGACCTTTTGTGAACCTGTCCTGTTGACATGCACAGCAAAAAAAACCCTCCTGGAACATTTTTGTTACTAAGAGTTAAACTTTACTGACAGATCCATACAGGTACAGAAGAGGTAAAGCCAGTTCTGAGGTTTCGGTGCAAAGCACAGCATAGTAAAAATCCTCTTTTCCTTCCCCCAGGCAGCCCTGTGTCCATTGTCCATCAATCCAGGTTAAGCATTTTACTTTGGGGAAACAGTCTAAATTCCCTTTTTCCCCTCCCAGCTTCCCATACATTCCAGTCATACCCATCTCCCCTCTCTTAGCTTCTTTGTCAAACTGCGAGCAGAAAGAGGTACATTGTGAGTAGACTCAAAAAATGGGAATATAATCCTCTGAATCATGACTAATAACATGGTGCTAATAGCGTCACCCGCCCAGGTAGGCCAGATGGGAAATATAACCACATAAGCTAAATCTACTTCACTGTGAAGCTACAGTAATAGAATCTTGCAAATCTCCTCAATTGAGAGAGTAGAAGTCTCCCACTATCTCCTCCTGCCCATTATCCAGCTGCAGGCTATATTGTCACTTATCTGTTTCCTAGGCAGGGGTCACCTTGTTTCCCAGGGCCATTCCCACATTCCATTATAGATAGTCCTCCTCATTAAGCAACCATTTATGGTTATGAAAAAGTATCTTTATGACCAAACCTCACATTTTGCCTGTCTGTAGAACAAAGGAAAGCTGAAACAGACATGGTTTCACTCAACAACCACTTCGCTTAACCAAGTTGCCAGGCCCAATTGTGGTCGCTAAATGAGGACTATCTGTAAGGACAAATGTATCATCGAATCTATCTCATCTGTACTGGCTGTCTTTTCTTTTTCCAACATCTATTGAAGCCCAATTTTCAGTACCTTGTAGCTTAAAAAACATTTCATTTCAAACTAGTTTCCAGCAGTCGTAAGCACAAAAAGGAAATTGTGCATTAAGTATTACAATATAAATCTATGGTTGCTGTTTTAAAATTCTAAAAGTAAGACAAGATTTAAACGTGTTACATCTCAAATGGTTTTAGCCAAGCTCTTTAGTGAAGAAATCTCAGAGTGTGACCTGTATGAAATGAATATGAACAATATACTCCCTGCTGGCAAGATTACCATCGGTAGTGATGTAAAAGAAAGGATTAAGAGAAAATTAAAACCAAAAACCAAACAGGGAATAAAATGAAATGAAACAGAAACAGTTTAGTGAGGAATCATAAAACCATGATCCCTAGGAATGTGGAGTGGCTTTATCAATGCCATATTGTCTATACAATACGGCATTGTATACAATCCTTGACTAACAACAGTTCATTTAATGACTATTCAAAGTTATAATGGCGTTGAAAAAAATGACATGCCCACTTTTGCACTTGCCACCACTGCAGCATCCCCAAGTTTATGTGATCAAAATTTAGATGGCAACTGGTTTCATATTTATGACCGTTTGTGACCTGTTGACAAGCTAAATCAATAGGGAAGTCAAATTCACTTAACAACTGGGTTACTAACTTAATAACTGCAATGATTCACTTAATAACTGTGACAAGTTGTAAAATGGGGCAAAACTCACTTAACAAATGCCTCACTTAGCAACATAAATTTTGCGCTCAATTGTGGTCGTAAGTTAAGGACTACTTGTATATTTCTTCCCCCAGGAGGGTCATGTGAGCTGCCCAGTCACTGAAAGTGAGTGGGCGGCCATATAAATTCTCTAAATAAATTAGAGTTTATTACTTGTACAATCTAGCACAAATAATTATCTGTAGAATCCAAAGAGCTAAGGATTCAAAATTTGACGTAATGGATACAACGAAAGAAAGAGAATTGAAAGCATGGGTAAATTAGGAAAGAAAATAGACATATTTCAATCAGACCATTTTATTAAGTTTGTATGTATATGCACACACATGTGCACACAATCATCTAGGGAATGCCCAGCTAATCAAACAAACAAATATAATGGGGAACGGTATCTAAAAAGAACAAATCAAATAGGTTTTATTTAGAGGAAAGGAATTGGACAAGATATAAAACAAACACAACCAGAGAAACTGATTGATTTCCCAGAGCTGAGAAAATACGAGGAAGCTGGTCACTGAGATGCATAGAACCTGCCTCAAGAGACCGGGATTATTATTTTTATTTAAAGATTGCCTTTGAGGTTTGAAGCTTGGATTGGCAAAAGAGAGATGACCCAACAGCAATGAGCAGAAAGAATCAGGCCTCAGCTGAATCTCAGCATACCAGTTTTCTAAGTGAAAACATTTTGTGTATGTGTGTGTTTTTTTTTTTTTAAATGCCTTCAAGTCAGTGTTACTCCTAGCAACTGTCTGGACTGGTTTGGGGTGTTGTTGTTTTTTTTTGGCAAGGTGTCTGAAGTGGTTTTTCCTGCCTTCTTCTTGCCAGAACTGACAGATAATGAGTGGCCCCAAGTTTCCCAGCTGGCTTTGTTCCTGAAACAGGACTAGAACTCAGTTTCTGAGTTTCTACTCTGGTGTTTTAATCGCTATATGAAACTGTTCCCCCTTTTTTGTCTTTATAAGAAAGAAATAGTTGAATATGCAATGAATATCCCATCTGTACTAGAAATAAGCAGGATGGTATCCTAGGATGTAGCTGATCGTATAACTCAAAAGTATAAGCCTTACTTGGACCCATACTTGCCCAGCAAGCTCCCTTATACCAAGGATAGGCCACTGAAAAACAAACCTACTTCCTGAGTTTGTTGCAAACATGGTGCCATAGCTATTTGGGCATAAAAGAGGGACCATGTTTTCATCTGGCAACATTACGGAGCCTGGCAAGAGAAAGGGAAGGATGGTAGTTAAAAGACGGAACTATGAAGTTGCTTTTCTCATCCCCTCTACTTACTACATTATGCCAATTGTTTAATTATCAAGCCCGGTGCAACCTAATTGCTATGTTCGTTGAAAACTGTCGACTGCTAACAGCAGGGGTGGGAAAACTGTTTGTTCCGGGAACATGCGAGAGAACCACTTTCACAAAAGTAATGTTGCTCTCTTCCTCCCACTCCCCTATCTTCAATTCATGCTAAAGCAGAGGTGACAAAACTAGAATTATGATTGGCAGTCTGGATTACAACTCCTACAATTCTTTGCCAGTGGCCATACTGATGATAACTGAAGTCCCAAACATCTACAGAGTAACAGAGTACCAGGCTGCCTGTCTCAATTATATAAAGAGATTCACACATGCAGCTTGTAATTGCATGGAAAGCCACCCTCTCCCACATGTCCTTTTGGGTGCTGAACAATGGGACCCTATATTTGGCCTATATAGTCCTTGCATTATGACCAGAATGTCCATAGTTAAGCAAGACAGTTGATAAGTGCATCATGTCTGATTTTGCAACTGTTTTTACCAATGGGGTT